CTTAGGGCACACATGGCTGTTCCAGTATTAATGCTGTTGTGATAGCCACATACTCAGAAGTTCTGTTGTTTTTTTCTCACTTCGATCCCTGATCTCTCCTTGCTGCTGTTAATTTGAATGGGCACAACATCTCTCAGAATGTGTGCATCCCTCTTTCTCCTTCAGAGACAGATTTTAAAACAAATAAAACCAATTGAAAACACGTATGAGCAGTATCCCACCCTCTTTCAAACTTAAAATCTTTTTCTATTTACATTATAAATATGCACTTCTTACTGTTGTTTCCCACACAGGTAATGCTTTTTCAGGTTTAATAATGTTCATAAAATATTCTAAAACTAACACAAACACTGCTGATGACTCCATGGTGCCTTAAATGAATTCACCACTAGAATGACTAATATTAAAATAACTTATCAACCATTATCGCCATCTGTTGGTGGTGAGTGGAGTAGACGCCACTCTCCAGAGTCTTGGCTCCTAACTGGGAATGTTCAAAAGCTTTGAGTGTGTCTGTGTGCGCATGCACATGTGCACATGCATAGGCTCACATTGGACAAAATCCATCACGATTTGCACTAATATTTAACATTCAGATCCAGCACTTCAGGTGATTTTAATATTTCAACCTACTTTCCTGTGTCTTCAAATTACAATAAGCATGCATTTCTTTTGTAATTAAGGTACATTAACAAAAAGGTAGAATTTAGGAGGAACTAAATGATGGGGTAGAAAATTAAGGAGGAGAAAATTAAGCTTTATTTACTAAATGCAAACTGAAATAGACTTAGATTTTATATACAGAAGATGAAAGAAGAGCTCTAATTGGAAATGGGGGAGATGACTTATTTAAGCTATGGTGCAAACAAAAGAAATGTTGGTAGATGCCTAGCAGAAGGTTTTGTCAGCCAAATTCACTTGGGCCAGTAGGTTTAAATGTGAGTTTTTACTTGTTATTCTCCTTTGAAATACTAATTATTTTGTAGTCACATTTCTTAGTTATTTTTTATCCTTTTACTGCCAGAGCTTTCTCTGGAATGGATTATCTACTCTTAGCAAAGACAGTTATATTCTAGGTAGTCAGGGCTGTGGTCTGAGCCTAGTTACTCTGAAGCTGGTAAAGCCCAAAGAATCTTTATATTCACATTTTCCCCATAAAAGTCTGTTAGCTTGCTTTCTTGGGCGTGCATCTCTTTGTGTTCCGAGAGTGTGAATTCTTCCATTCAGGAGGTCTGTTTCTGCTGATAATACATTGTATGTCCATGGTCCTTAATGTTTTTTGTTTTTCTGTTTTTATTTTATTTGTTTTACAAATTAGGCTGCCAAGGGGAACAAGGGGAAGTGAAAATCTGGTTGCTTCATGAACTTGTACCCAGCAGTCTGTTACTCTATGAGGCCCTGGTGATCCACAATCATATCAAACTAAATGTCAGTCATCCTCATGGCTTCTCCTCCCCTCCCCTACCCCTTGCCCCATGTTATTAAATCTGACTGCATTAAAACTGGTAGAGGGAAATGGTGACCTCTCGAGCTGCCACCTCTTTTCCATTCCTTGGGTGCCATTGATAGACAGCTCCCCTTTATATTCTAGATCCCCTCTCATGATGGAAACTACTTGTTCTGCACTTAGCTCCCATAGCATGGTGCTGCAGCAGCACCTTTGAGGAGCCAGCTCAGGTGGAGTCAGAGTGATATAAAGTGCTACATCCTCCAAGACTTCGTAATTCAGTGACAGCCTATGTGCTATGAGTGATGTACCAGAATGGACAGCCCAAAAAAGCAGCCGTAAGGAGAGGGAGCCCTTCAGCACTCCTTGGTAACCCAGACAAGCACCTTCCTGACCCCCTAGACTGCAAGGAGGCCAGTATGCGACAGTTCCACAGACAGAGTGAAAGCTGTTTTCTGACTTTTTGGAAAGTCCTGGTCTTTTGCTCTTAACCCACAAACGATGATAAAAACCTCAATAAAAAGTAAAATGGTAAATTTCAGAATGTCTCTTCTCCTGTACTCCCCATCCATGTTCATCCCTCTTTCAGCACTGAGCTACATGTTTATTTCTCATGTTTAAAAGAAAAACAATTTGAAAAATAAATCTATTCCATTTCCATAATAGAGAAAATCTTCCATTTTGTTCCTCTCCTTTCATACTGTGATTGTATAAAGGAAACATTGTTTCATAGATAAATTTCAGTGAAAACTTAAATACATTTTTGGCCTTGGAGGTTTGGGTCAAGATCTTGTGTTTAAAACATCTATGAGCTTTTGTTTTCCTGTTTGCAAAAATGGGACTAATAGCACCTACCCCTTAAGATTGTTGTGAAGCTAATTGAATAACATCATACATACAAAGTGCCTGGCATAGTGAGTCAATGTAAGCCTCTCCGGTTTGCTATAAAATGTCCAACTAAGTGGCTGAGGAGATTAGGGGTGATTTCATAGAAGATAATGTTTTAACAGGTTTTTCAGATTTAAGCAAGGGGAAAACGAGGGACATGTTTAAAGAGATGTTAAAGGTAAATGCATGCAGCAGACAGGGCTGGAAGGACCAGAGGCTGGTTCTGTTATGTGCTGTTTGTGTACATCTAGGCACAGTGAAGAGAAGGAGCAAATATTAGACACATATCAGAGACAAAACCCAGAAGAGTTACTGACTGACAGGATTCAGGAGTGGCTGGGTTGATGATGTTTCACGGAACTCACACTTGGTGGAAAAGATTGTGAGTATGGCAGTGCTATCGAGTGAGAAGAGACATAAAAGGGAGACAGGAAAAGGGGGGTTTGGGGTTCTTCAGGGTGGGATTTAGTAAATTGTGGGCTTGAGGTGATATTGAACTAAATACTTAAGTATCTTAATGAGATACTAGGATATGTAAGTTAAAAGAGGAAGCAGCAAAAATGAAAACTTTGATAGTATTTGGTGGGGGGAAAGGAAACCCAGGAGATGAAATGGGCATCACCAACAAAGATGCATTAATTAAAACCAGGCCACTGGGTAAATTTACTAGGATTAGGAAGGGTTGAGGACTGAGTATTAACCATGATGAAAATACCTGGTTAAGGAGGGAGAGGAGGAAGCAGAATGGGCCAAGAACCAGTGAAAGGGAGGGCAGGGTGAGACCCTGGGAGAGAGCAGAAGCAGAGAGAGGTGCTGGGTGCCCATATGTGGAAGTGAAGAGCAGTGCCAAAAGTAGCAAAGAGTTCAAAACCTTGGTAGCTCTGCTACTTCCCACATCCCCTTTCTCCATGTCTGTCTTTTCCATTATCGATGTGCAGAGCACAACCAGAAGGTAGAAGGCCAGCCCCTGACCTTCTCTAAATTTTTTTTCTATTCAGTTTACAAAAGACCATGAACTCTGCGACTTCAACCAAAGTCTCTTAATCTCTGACTCTCAAACCCTTTATCCTAATTGGAGTTACAACAACTTTCTAATTTCAGAAAAGGTATAAGGCAGGGATGCAATTTGAGTTTCAGCTAAAACTTGTGCAAATGATAGAGTGCTGGTAAACATCAAGCATGTAAATAACCTAGGTAGAATCATGTAAGTAGTTGCTTAAAGGTGACCTTTAAATCATGTATTTTCCCTGGTTTACAGATTTTTTTAATCATTTTTTTGTGTCAGCTCAGTGACCTGTGTTAATGCTCTTATAAATGCTCAGAACCTCTACAGGTAATTAAAGGTGTTTGTGCAGCATTATGCCTCTTGGATGTAATTGTCATTTGAACCTTAAATTACCTTTACTTTCATGCCTATTTAATAATCATTTGATTACATGGTTACACGCAGTGAAGTCTGACTGAGGGAGAGAGGTGGTTCAAGCCATTTGTTTCTTCTAGATAAATGTCTTTCAGTTTGTTGAATGCATGAAACAAAAACCTACAGTACTCAAAAATGGTTTAAAATGTGACACAGACACTTTTCATTGTCTAAAACTTTTAAGACTCTTTTTAGTCCTTCAAATCAACATGAGAAAGCAACATTAGAGAAAATGAAAATTTTAAGAGTGTGTGTGTATAAAATTTTGGAACTTAAGTCTGTAAATGAGGAAGTGAGTCTCAGACACATGAAGTAAGTTATGTGCATTTCTCAAAGTCCCAATAATTTTTCAGAATTATTTTTTAAAGGCTGCTCTATCTTTGTTTCTAGAAGACAAGTATAGCAGTGCTTTTACACTGTGGTCTGGTTGCAGTGAGAAGGTGTAGGATTAGTATACACATTTAAGCAGCACTGCCATTTCATTTTAAGTGGTAATGGACTAAATGGACTCAATGCTCTAAATTTTTTCCTTCTCTCCCCCAACTTCCATTGTACAGTAAGGATTTGAACACATTATAAAATTAATGCTTAACTCCTTATTTGTTGTTTTCTATTCTTGATTGTCCATTTCTTACACATTAGTGAGTATATCATTATTACTGAGTTAAAAGAAGTGTGAATAAACATTAAGTTATTGAAATACTAGGTATCAAAAGAGCTGTTTTAAATTAATCAAATGTATTAGACATACACACACGCACCTTATTTTGACAAGCTGCAGCTACACAGGCCTGCCTGCAAACCTAAATGAATAGATACAATGCAGGCATTTTTTCCCTCATGATTAGTTTTAAAGGCTGCATGGATCGTGGTACTTTCCTTTAATAATTCTGTAGCCTTGCATTAGGTTTTGTAGTTGACCACAGACATAGTGCTATTAGAAGAAATTGTTTTCTATAGAGCTCACATTCCACTTTTGGGGGGGAGGGGTCCCTAGATTGTCAGGTAAGTAGCTCACTCCTCAAATCTAAACATCAAACTATAATCCAGAGGTTCCAGTGGGTGGGGGGCCTAGCCATTCCCTTTTTTTAACTTCAGTTTTGAGTTTCAAGTTCTCATTTCCTGTACCATAGTCAAGAACATTTTGTACTTTAAAATTTGCAGATGTTGGAAAAGTATGTGTGTTTTCTGGATATTAATAAGGGTTCCTTGATTATAACTTTTTTTTTCCTTTTTGTCTTTTAGATATGGCAAAATAGTCTCCACGAAGGCAATTTTGGACAAGACAACAAACAAATGCAAAGGTGTGTTTCCTTGGCTGATGATTTGCTAAATCATAGCTTTAGAAAAATGGTGGAATTTTAAACCTGATCTCTGGTTTCAAAACTACCTCCATTTTATTAAAAACCAAATCTTATGTGTCACCCAGTTTCTGTCTTGCACAATGTCAGCATATTGCTTACATTTGTCTCTGGTCGGGTTTTGGCTAGAAACCCAACAGCAGCTAGCAGTGTGCCAGAATCCCAGATTTGACGCCAGTGGAGTTCACATGCAAAATACTGGTTGGCATTTAGCCCCTGCTCTTAAAAGGAGAGTCGAGTTAGAAAATAGCTTTTCTTTGCTGAGCCTGAGGAGATTAGAGCTGCTTACTGAAGCCCACTGGACTGTACTAAAGAACTGAAAAGATTACATATTGTGCAAATTGGCTCTATTAATTAGAATAGAGTAGTTTTAAGCAGTACTTAATTACATGTTTCAATACTCTGAATTGTTCTCTGCTGAATGCCTGTTGACAATATTGGCAGCAGGAAGGAGAGAAGCATTTTCACTGACCAAATTGTAATAAGGAGTGGAGGTCACACGCCCCTTTGAAATATGCTGCTGCATTAATTTGATGCACTGACCTTCAGTTTTCTGTGTAATTAGGATGAGCTCATCCAGCCTCATGAGCTGGGAGAAGAGGCATCTCCAATAGGCAGCCCCGATGCTCCGTGGTTCTGACTTTTAATGATCTAGCATCTTAACAATGGGCATGTGATTTCTAGGAAAGGGGAAGAATGGAGTCAGCTGACTTTGAGTCTAACTACCGACCCCTTGAATTGAAATAAGGTTGACAGGAATAGGCAGAGAAGGCAAATCTCCTCGTTAATTAGACCCCCATTTTTCAAGTAGTGGTGGCGGCTGTAGCTTAGCACAATCTGAAAAAGGCAAAGACCGTAAATGAACCCTGTGCTAGGGCCTCGCCTTAGAAGCCAGCCATTTCCTTTCATCTAGACTTGAAGTGGTTCATTGTATTTCTCTCTTCTTCAAAGCTCCTAAATTTAAAGGAGCTGTTGTTGAAGATATCTAAGCCCATGTTTAATCAACATGGCCCGTTAAAGCAGTTTTGCCTTGGGACAGTGAATAGAGCAGCTTTATGTAGAGAGGTAGTCAATAAATATTTTAATGAATTAAATGAGAAAGTTAAATTCTAGACTGAAATGTTTACACTTAGTTGCCTAGATTAGTCATATTGAACATATTTGTAAATGATTTGGGAGAGCAGGGACACAGAAAAAAATTATTTGGGTTTTATAAAGAAAAATGGACTCATGCAGGTAAAACAGGAAGCTGATCTCAAAAAATAGTTTCAGACCAAAAGAGAAATCACAGTAGCCAAGTGGTTTTAGAGCCTTTTATAGCCTTACCCTACTTTTCCTCCCCATCCAAAAAAAAAGAAAAAGAAAGAAAGAAGGTGGGGGGAGGGGTGAAGAAAGGAAGGAAAGGAGAGAGAGGGAAAGGAAGAAGGAGGGAAAGAGAGGAAGAGAGAGACAAAAACAGAGAGAGGGGAAGAAAGGAAAGGAAAGAAGGAAGGAAAGAAAGAGAGAAAGAGGAAGAAAGGGAGGGAGGGAGGGTGGGAGGAATCCTACAGTGTATTAAAAGGCAGAGCTACCCTAGATGAGTGAGGGAAAGAACTCAGGAGCCTCCCTGCTTGAATTCTCCAGCACAGCCCTACACTGAAGACGACTATTATACACTCTTCTCCAATAAGAAACTGTTCCTTAGAAATCAAAATTCCCCAAAATGCTCAACACAGTCTCAAAAAAGTATGACTAAAAAAATGCTAATGCTAAATCTAACATATTATCATGATACAAATCCATAACAGTTGGAAAGGGTCCAAAGATAAGTGGAGAGATTTGTGGGGATTTGAAATAAGGGTAGAAATAATTCAGAACTGATTTCATATACAGTATGTATTGGAACCTTTGAGCTAATGCCTTTTGAGGGAGGGGAAGATGATAGAAAGCTTTCAGGACTCTGTCTCACACAGGCCTTATGAGCAGATGTCAGCAGATACCTGGTGGGTTTGTCGGTCAGTGAGTAAGGAGAGAGAATGAGTTTATAATATCTTGGAAGAGAAAATGTAAGAGCTCCTGAAAAAAAAGTCTTAGAACAAATGAGAAGAAATAACATAACATGTAGCTCATAATGAAGACAAGTAAGATGTTAACCATGTTATAACTTGAGAAGGTAGGTGTATGGATGAATATAGATAATGCATTATTAGTGTAGCACATAAGAGTATTAGTATAAATGAAAACTGCTTGTGTTTTATACTAATTTTTTTTTGAGGCTGAACAGATCAAAGAATTTTATATATGGGAATTAAAGAGCTTAGTGATCACAGATCATTTTTTGTCACAAAACATATGTTAGAGTCTCTGCCCAAGAGAAAAAATTAAGCTGAAGGAAACATTGCTCTGAATAACATGTACTTTAGTTAAAAAGTCATGATTCAGTTGTTCTACATTTAAGTTTTTATCAGTTTTTAGTGAACAGGTATTCAGATGTTTTTGGCACTGGTATAATAGTTGCCTCTTATGCATGGGAGATACGTTCCAAGATGTCTAAGTGGTTACCTACAACTGCAGATAGTACAGAACCCTGCATCCTCTATGTTTTTCTTATACATACATATCTTTGCTATAGGTTAATTCATAAATTAGGCTCAGTAAGGATTAGCAATAACTAATAATAAAGTAGAACATTTACAACAATATACTGTTATAAGTTATGTGAATGTGATCTCCCTCTAATAATCTAATAACTTAGATGGCTAGGCAGTGTATGCACCATGGGTCCACTGGACAAAGGGATGATTCCGGCCCTGGCAGGATGGAGCAAGACAGCATGAGATTTCATCATGCTATTCAGAGCAGCTTGTGGTTTAAAACATATGAATTGCTTATGTCCAGAATTGTGCATTTAATGGGTTTAGACCACAGCTGAACACGTACAACCCAAAGCAAGGAAAATGAAACTGCAGGTAAAGGGGGATTACTATTGGAATATACATGCCATGTTCAGGAACTGCCCCCGCAAGAAAAACTTGGAAGGTATTGATTGTAATGCTGATTGATTATTGATGCTTACAGGTTGCATGTAAGACCAACACACACACACACACACACACACACACACGTAAAATGAGTGAAGATAAGTCAGACCAAAGGGAAAATAGGGATAAGAGCAGGAAACGTAAGGTTACTACAGAAATGGCCCTGTGTTTGCTAGACACCAATGCAGAAATAGAAAGCATAACTATTCCCTTGATTCAGTTTTCACCATGTGGAGGAAAGTCCAGGAAGCCTGAGCACCATAACTGTTCCTGGTGCTGAGCCCTGAAAACTCCTGGGAATCCAGAGAGAGGGCACTGTGTTATCTAGTAAATCACACCTTCAGAATATCTGTATATATATTTATATAATGAAACCCATAGGACCCGTGTAAATCAAAGATTTATATACTTATGTTTCATTGAAAGTAATATGAGAGAAAATGAAAAAACACAAGATTGCATGTTTACCTATTATATTAGTTTTCGGCAGATATTTATGAAACAATTGGAATGTGGTTGGAAAGGCCAAAAAGGATATAAACAATTAACTAAAATACAACCATTATGGATTTTCCTTAATAAAAAAATAACAAATAACCCTGGCCAGTCTGGCTCAGTTGGTTGGAGCGTTGTCCCATTCACCATAAGGTCATGGGTTCCATTTCCAGTCAGGGCACTTACGGGAGGCAGCCAGTTGATGTTTTTCCCTCTCTCTCTCTCTCTCTCTCTCTAAATCACTAAACATACTTTATTTAAAAAAGATAAAATAATACAGTACCTGAGCAGATAACTTCAACTATAGTAACATCAAAATTGAGATCTTCTGCTTACTGTAATTTATTGACAACAAAATTGGGGGGAAGCTTAAAACATCCACCAGCAAGACTTAAATCATCTCAGTGTAGCGTGGTGTTCATTTATGACCTGCTAAAACTGCATTTGGTAATAAAATATGGATGAGAGTTAGACAATGTGTGTGTGTGTGTGCCAGTGGGTGTCTCCGGAGAAGGTTGCACTAACAGATGATTTCTAAAAACACCTAAAAATATGTTTAACCTAATTTCTAACTTTGTGGTTGAATAACAACCTCTTTCACCTGGGCCAACCTCTTTTTCTTTCCAACCTGGCTGTTTCTCCACTGCCTAAATTAAATTAAGCCTTATTTCAGTCCGATTCCAAGTAATAGAAAGAAGCTGCCTCTGGTTTCAGCTTTAACACTCATCTCTCCTAAAACATTTATTTCTATAATAGGTTGTCTACTTCATTTCATTACAACTCATTTTGTTACCAGTCAGTACTTTGGGTACTATGGTTGCACACCCACCTTCAAACTGTTCTGAAGCCTTCTTTTTAGTCTTGTTGGTATATGAGGAACAACCCTCAAAAAAACAGAATTATCTTCTGGAGGGCAGGTGCCTTGTAGTACAGGCTTCCCCCACTAAGTGAGTGTTCTAGGGACCGACCCATCTGTATCAGTGTCTCAGCTGGTGTCATGAAAGGCTACGTTTGGTTTCAGTTAATTTTTTTTGAAGACTGTCAACATATTTGCCCATTTTGTGATGGGTGATTTATAAGCACACCTACTCATGTCACACTGAGTGTTTAGTTTTTGACTCAAAAGGGCATGACCCCCATGCACCACTGTCCCTATTCACCCAGTGTCGCCCTGAGTCATTTTTTTTTTGTTTCCCCTGGATGAAAAAAGTTCTCAAAGGGAAACATTTTGCTAGTGTGGAAGAGGTGAAACAAAAAATGGTGGAAGAACCAAAAGGCATCAAACTCAATGAAGTCAAAAACTGTTTTGAGCAGTGGGAAAAATGTCTCTGTTAAGTGTATTGCATCAAATGAAGAGTACTTTGAAGGTGACTGAAGTTGAAACATGTAAGAATAAATACACAATTTTTATAAATAAACTCCAAGTTTTTGGGAGTCTCGTCTCATATATGTCTGTTTTGACACAAGTATCTTACTCTCTAAATTACTGTATCTTTATACTATCCATAAATAAATGATAGGGCTGGCCCCTCTTCTATGCAACCTCCAAATAGTGCTTTTCTTTTTCAAAATATTCTTACCATTTAAAATTAATTTTAAGTACTGGCTGGGTAGCTCAGTTGGTCAGAGCATCTACATCAAGATGATGTACATCAGGAGTCCTCATACACCAAGATTGTGGGTTCATCACGGTCAGGGCACATGCAAGAGTCAACCATGAATGCATATATAAGTGGAACAAAAATACATGTTTCTCTCCTTCTATCAAAAAAAAAAAAAGCCCTGGCTGATGTGACTTAGTGGTTGAGCACTGGCCTGCAAATCAGAGGGTCACCAGTTAGATTCCCAATCTAGGGCACATGCCTGGCTTTTGGGCCAGGTCCCCAGTGGGGGCCACGTGAGAGGCAACCACACATTGATGTTTTTCTCCTTCTCTTTCTCCCTCCATTTCGCTTTCTAAAAAAAAAAAATTAATTAAAAAAAATCTTTTTTTAAAAATCAGTAAAAATTTTTTAAATTAATTTTATAATAGGTTTGAGTTTCTAGAAAATCTCTGTTGGTATTTTTGCCTGGTACTCTGGTCTTTTAAACACTCTGCTAAATATAATTTAACCTTTTCTCAATAACTGAGGCATTATCACAGTGAAAAGTCATTAATTGCCGATTTTAATACAGTGGTGCTCAGACTGATTAAGGAACTATTGCTCTTAATTGGTGTAAGTCCTGTTTTTTGTATAATTTTCCTTCTTTACTGCTTTTTACTAGTCTTCACTGCTAGATACCATCCATGTGCTTATTTTGTAGCAATCCTACCTTCAGCCCAACCCTCCCTCTCCTTTTTTTTTAATTTCCTGGCTTTGGTATGTTGTGGCCAGGGAAAATAGCTCAGCAGCTTGTTAAAACTGTTTGTAAAGCTCTGGGTAAATAAGCTTTGAACCAGGACCTTTCTTAGATTATTTGATTACTTGTTGTTTTGTGATGTTTTCGATTTCAGAACGTGAACTGTGGGAACAGCTATTTTGGGTATCTAGACACACGTTTCCCTAGCTCTATTTGAAGGGAGATCACAATGAGCTGTATTTTAGGTAAATAAGTACTACTATTTTTAATCAAGGACTAACATTTAGATTATTTTGTGTAGCTAATGGTTGAACTTAATTTATTTGAAAAATAAAGTTTAGTCTACAAAACAAATATAATTTTATTTCTGTTATTTGTAAGTGCCATAGGATAGCTTCATCTTTCTTACCAAATCATTAAAAATGCTATTTCTCTGAAATTGATTTTCCTTGTCTTTTAACCTCGGTTGGTAACTTAGATGTCATTTTTGTCAGTAAACACAAGACACCTGAGAAAAGGATTGGCAAGGGGCAAAGCTGGGTCTTTGCTTTTAAGGGAAACGTACCAAACTGTGATGGACCACAGGGCAGGACCGCCTGAGGAGGATGCTGCTGTGTTCCTGCTCTAAAGGCTTGAAACCTGTCACATCCACAGGGTGTTCGGTTTTTGTTGCCAGCATCAGAAACCAAATGGAGTCATTCTTTTCCTCTCTCCATAATCATAAAATAATGGTTGAAAAACAAAATGTATTTTGCATTTCAGGTTATGGTTTTGTCGACTTTGACAGTCCTGCAGCTGCTCAGAAAGCTGTGTCTGCCCTGAAGGCGAGTGGGGTTCAAGCTCAAATGGCAAAGGTGAGTTGAGAGCCAGTAACCACTTCTCTGGTCCCTGACTTAGGTTCTGAAGTCTGACACATTGCTTCTCCTATAGCCATTCACATTTCTTCTCTCCATCCCACCTCACCATGGTTACTTCTGGACACTTGTCCCCTAACTCCATGTCCTCAATAGTTGTTTTGAAGCAGTATAAGCTGTAGTTGCTGTTCTGATTCATAGAGAAGTCAGACATTTTTAGACCTTGGTTATTTATGAGCTATAAATCTACTCTTCATCTAGATGAGGAATATTGTTAAGTGACTTTTATTCCCTAGTCTTTATTACCTGAGTGTGAGCTTGGGTTATATCATACCTAGAGCCTATAGTGCACTTATTGTACAGTCATATAATTATATCCCCTTTTCCATTTTTGGTCCTGGAATTGCGATGAAAACTATTTTCAAGCCTGAAACTCAGCAGTTTGATATTTTGTGCATTCTTTTCAGAAGATCAGTAGTTTTATATTATCTAGCTTCTAGAAGTATAGAGGAAAGGAATTTTGTGCTGTCCTCTGCTACTTTTGAGCAGTAGCGTGCCATCATTCCCCAAGGAGCATTCACAGTTCCATCAGGAAAGAAGATTTATGGAAGTTCAAGGGCTCTGGTAAAGAGATGAGTTACATGCTAAGTACTGTAGGGCATATATGCAGCTACCAGGATAGAGCTTTGCATTGGCTAAAAGAAGCAACATAAATAAAGATTTTAGGAATTAATGAAAGGTATCACTTTTCTAAAACATTTAATATTTTTAAAGTTTGGATTTTACTTTGCATTTTATTGAATTCCAGAATAAGAAATGAAAGTAAACAGAAACTGTAAATATTAAGTACCATGGTTTTCAGATTATTCGTTCATAACAGAGCAATTGCCTGTGACATTGTTGAAAAACAGTGACCATGAGGCTTCAAATTATTTCATTGTGATTGTGCAATACCTGTACTGTATAATGGTTTATCGAATGTTTATTTTTTCCTCTACTCCATCTGTTTTAACTCAAACTGTGAAGCTCCTGCTTCCTCCTCTCGTGGATGAAATCCAGGGAAGGTCATAACTTCTCTGAACACTCTCATGGTTCTAAAAAGTCCCTTCAGTTGTTTCTCTCATTTCAGGCCTTTCAGATTAAGTTTTTTGGTAGAATGCTTCTTGATTTTTAATATACAAACTTCATGGGACATAATTATCTTCCAGTACATTTTGGCTATTTCTGTATATATTTATACCAACCTCAATACAATATTTTAAACAATCTGTTGTGTGAGGAAAGTCTCAAGCTACATCAGTGGTCCCCAAACTTTTTGGCACCAGGAACCAGTTTTCGTGGAAGACAGATTTCCCACAGAAGGGAGTTGGGAGGAAGGTCATGTTGCTTAGGGGATAGGGAGTGGGATGAAGCTCCCCTGCCTGGCTCATGCTCACCTCCTGCTGTGCAGCCTGGTTCCTAACAGGCCACAGTTGGGGACCCCTGTTACATTACAAATACCATTTGTAAAGTGCCAAAATCATAGGTAGATGCTTTGAAACTGCTGAGTCAGCTAAGGGAATATGTGTCTTGGATGTTGATTCTAAAGGAATTCAGTGTACAAAGCAGTTGTCTGCTATCAACCACATTGATCACTTGCTAATCAGGAAGGATGTTTTAAAGGTTTATCTCCCAACATAACCATTTGTTCCTTGTGTGTATACACACTCAGAGAGAGAAATGTAACAAAGGTATTTAGTTGTATTTTAGGAAATTGGCTGGTGTAATTAATGTGTCATACATTATAATTTTTTATATGAAATGTAAAACAGACTTCTAGTTCACATTTTTATGCTGAATGTCCGATTTTCAAGAACATGTTACTGATGCTAAATGTGTGATGCTTGTAATTTAAATGTCCAATCCATTTTATTTGACAAAATTTTGAGTATCATATAATGGTAAAGCTGCTCCCTTCCCCCAGAAAAGGTCTGCTCTAAGTAGTAAGCCTATAATGAGATGGGAGTGTAGTTAGTTTCTTTCCTATTTCCCAAACTTGAGTTTTTCCCACTCTTCCATTAGTTCCTGAGCTGTGGCTTCATATATAACAATGTGAATTTTCAGAACCTTAACATATCCTGGTTAATTCACTACAGAGAAGTGGACAGCAATGGTCCCTTATCCCCTCCAGGGCTGGAGCAGTGCTGAAGGATGGGGAAGCTTCCTGACCTGACAGTGATGGCAGCTGGTGTTGATTTCTCTAGCCAGACAGAGCACCTCTCCTGAGCATTCCACCCTCATAGAATGCTTTGGGAGTATGTCAGAGATCCCTTACCACCCCGTCACCCCAGTTGATCTTCTCTCTACGGTCCCTTGAAGCTAGAGAATACATGTCTTCAGCCTCCCACAGCCCCTCTCTATTGGGACATCCTTGCCTTCAGGACAGCCTTCTTGGGAGGACCTACCACAGGCCCTGGCCAACAGCTCTGCCTTGTGTGCCCACATCTGACCTACGTTTTTGCCAGCCATCCATACAGCAGTAGTTACTTCCCAGCGACATTTATTAGGGCCCTTCAACCAACCTTTTACCTTTTAGCTTCCTCAGGTCTAAGTCAGACCTTGACCCATTATATCCACCATAACCCACAGAACACTGATGAAGCCTCGGCGTGGTCTCCCGAAGCCCCTCTTGTTTGACTGATGGCGATAGGGAAGCAGCCCCTATGATACTCAGAAATGTATCTGTGTGTCTCTCCACAGCCATACTCATTCTCAGCCTCTTCAGTGTCTCAGAGACAGAGGGGAGGTGGGTGGTCAGCCAAGCATCCCAAGCCAGTCCTCAGCCAGCTCCTGTGCAGACGTTCTTTAGGTGGCCTGACTTCTCACCAAATATGGGAGTGCCTGACACCCATTGTTTTGTGTCCTCCGCTGAAATGCAGAAAGAGGCCTATTTTAACAGCCTGCTACAAGAGTAGAAGCCTTATTTAGGCTGGCCCCAAGTAGGACTTATCTAGGCATCTTTTCAGTGTCTGCTGTTAAGGAGCATAGGTTATTAAATATACTCTGTTTTGAAGAAGTCTTTACAATGCCTTTAGTCGAAACTGGACTGGGTGTAGATTGGCAGTAGCATATGCCAGCTCTCCCATGAGTTGATGATGAGCACTGTTCAGAGACCTCCTTAGGAGGCTTGGTGATGTAAAATAGGCTAGAAAAAATTATCCTTTCCTACGTCGTCTCCAGGGAAGGAACAGGATACAGGTTCAGAGACTCTGGCGCTGTGCCAACACTCTGCACCTTATGAATTTCTTCAGGTCTTTGTAGAATGACAGTTTCCTGGATCTGATTTTTTTTTTTTGGTGTTACATCATTAAAGTTACAAAAGGTATTTTAAATGCTAGAGTCCATTGTTTTATACCACAGAACCATGGATTTGAGTATCTGGAGTTGATGCAGGCTCTCCATGTTGCCTGAGTTAAAGTACACCTGACACACACCTTTTTGGAGACAATTTTTTAAAGAAGTTTAGGTTTGGCCCCCATGGTTGGGTAATAAGGGACATCACCATCCACTTTCCTCTAGTGAATTAATCAGGATACAAAAGGTTTTGAAAATTCACATTGCCATGTATTAAACACTTGCTTTCTTACGTAATCAGAAGAAAATTCAGGGGTGTTCTACGGGAGGAGTCCAGGGGCTGAGGGAGAATATACTGCTTGACACATTGGCTACCCGGGTTGAAAAGGACTTTGCACACGTTCAGAACTGAATTGCGAAACTGCCAATAAAGAGCATCAGACAACAGCGATTGTTTTTCATTCATGTTTTAATTCCCAGTGCCTTAATTGGTATCTGGCATAGATATTAAATATTTGTTATGTTAATGATCAAAAAAGCTAGTTAAGTGGCAGATACTGAGAATTAAGAAGGAGACATTTAAAAACATTAGAGCCCTGAAGGATGTGGCTCAGTGGATTAAGTGCTGGCCTGTGAACCAAAGGGTCGCTCACTGTTCAATTCTTGGTCAGAGCACAGGCCTGGGTTGTGGGCCAGGTCCCCAGCGGGGGGTGCATGAGAGGCAACCACACACTGATGTCTCTCTCCCTCTCTTTCTCCCTCCCTTCCCCTTTCTCTAAAAAATACATAAATCTTTAAAAATAAATAAATAAAAATAAAAAATAATTCATTGAGCTCTGTCCATGGAGTACCTGATGAAAATTAGCAAAGGTTTTCTTTCCAAGGTCTCAAGGCCAATCCTGTTTCTGTTTATGTTACATTCTGCATTTGTCTCAAATGTATGCATTTTTAAAATAAAAGACTCGGAATCTATGAAAAGAGAAGAAAAACTCAAGATAATGAGCTAAAAGATGCAAAACTCAAATCAGCTTCAGTGACATCTGTTAATAGAGAGACTTGTGTGAGCCTTTCAGCAGAGCCTTTGAGGCCTGCCAGGGGTCAGCAGATCGCCCTGTGTTATTTGGCTGGTAGTGAGCTTGCACTCCCCCTGCCCCCCAGTAAATAGGCAGTTAAAGGAGCAGGAATTGAATTCCCCTTCCTCACAGAGGCCTACCAGGCTTCAGGCAGTTGCATTCACAAGCCAGTAAGCAGTGAGATCTGCGGGTTGGTGAACCTATTCAGTACAAGAGAAAACAGATGTCTGGTCTTCCTGCCAAGCCCCTTTCTTGCATTTTAGGAACCATTCCACACGCACAGGGAGGTTTTGTTCATTTCTTTCAGATGATGACTGAGTGCTCTGCACCACGCGGGACCTCCAAGTCCCGCTTTTCTACTCAAGTGAACATTAGTAGCCATTTATCCCTCTCATGGCCAATGTGGAATCCAGTTTTCTACTTGTTAGAGAAGCCATTGAAGCCCTTCCATGGATACAAAGAGGCCTGTTGGCCCCATTTTTATGTTTGGCCACCCATAATTTACAGAACTGTTTTTTCAGACATAGCATTGTATGTAATAAAACAGTTACGCTTGTCACTGATTTTAAGGAAACTAAATTACCCTCATTCAAGAACCACCCCCCACTTACTACAAGTATAATGTATTTTGTCCACTGTGAATGGATGGTAATTAGTATGCGTGGACACTTTGAGGGTTAAATATTTCTGTGGCCAATGCTGCCAGCTTGAAGTTTCCTTTTTTCTTTAATTATCACAACTGTGTGGACAGTGTCTGCAGAATAAGTTGACCAGTTGAAAAGAAAAATAAATGACATTAGTTCTAAGGGTCATTCCAAATGAAGAAACCTAATTGAGTTGTTGCCATTGAAAACAAATGCATTAAAATCATAGAAAATATTTGCCTGTATTTAGTCTGCTCTGTCACTATTTATCAAAGACTGGGTTAAGAGCTCAATTTCTTTCTGGATTCTAGCCTACGATATTTATGATACATGTTTCTTTTGTGACTTTTTTTAATGCTATATATCTTTGCCCAAGGAATGTTTAAATCTCTTCAGTTATGGGGTTCCCAGCTTTATCCTGAATCTGACTAAGAACGATTCAGAAATCTTTCTAATTGGACAGGTTTGATCATATTACTCTGTGCCTCCAAAAGCTCCGCATTTTTCAGGGTGTGGCTTTCTCACTGCAGTTTCTCCTTCCTCCTACTCCCCGCACTCACCAGAGTACATGAGATCACAGGGAAAGCATGGCTTACATCTCTGGAGCGTGAGCATTACTTGAAAGTATTAGGACAGAAATATTGTTTCTATATTGAAACAAACGTGAATAGTTAAGTGGCACATTGCAAAATTTACACACACACCCCCACACCCTTTTTTCCCCCTTTTTTTTTTCCGATGAAGCACAAGGCTTCAAGGAAACGTTGCAGTCCTTGTGGCTCTGCTTTGGCCTTTGCCTACAGACTCTTCAGGATCCGCAGTCGTTCTCCCTGCTGTCAGCACTGCTTTACGTGGAAAGTTGGAGGAGCAGTGACTGACGAGATAAAATCAAACTCCTTAGGTAGCCTTTCATAATCTGGTTTCAGCCTCCTCTTCTGCTTGTTTCTCAAATTTCGACTCAATATCATGCCTTCTAAAAAGTCTTCCCTAAGCTTCCTAAGACAAGTTCCCCCATCTGTCCTCCCACTGTCCTTTGTACAGATCTGTGTCATAGCATTCATGAAAAATGTGTTTTTATCTCCCGACTTAACTGCTGGAACCCAGGGCTGGGATCGTGGTTCACAGTGAGTCTGGGTGGATGAAAGGCACTGCCAGTGTCAGTCAGCTGTAGTACGCCACAGCACCCTAAATGCCCACCTTCAGACAGAAAGGACCCCGCCTGTGTTGGCCAGTTAAGGACCAGACTCCCACAGGAACAAATACAGTCTTTTGCATTGCAGGAAAGTTTGGGGATTTGGGAGGTTACAGCCAACATGAAATGGAGCTTGTGATTAATTGGGTAAAGATAGTGAGCGAAGTAGAAATAGGATTTTACCTCTCATCCCATCCATCTCAGGAGAATTGGAAAACTTTAATACGTAAGACCATTCAGCTGCTCCTATTTTGAAATATTTTATCTATTATTGTCATGCATTCATTAAACAAATCACTTCAATTTTTATACTTAAAGATACACACTTTATGTAATTGGTATTAGGAGGTTTTGCTCAGCATACCACACTGAATTTATCTGATTTCTGCTATAAGCAAAGATGGTTGCCATTTTGTTTAGTCTATGGAAGGATTAATGAAGGTTTGCTATTGAACATTTGAAGACTTTTTAATACTTTCTTGCACCCAGCCACACAGACACACCCTGAGAGTCCGGGGCCCCCAGCCTGGTTCCATGCTGTCGTCTGGTCAGAGCCAGGAAGGCCCAGGGGCAATGCTTTCTGCTGGTCATTTCTCAGTCTGTGATAACTTTAATTCTTGGGAATGCCAGGGCATTTTTCATTTTCTAGGATACTAGATTGTTATTTAAATCTTACCAGAAAAATCAATGTTTACTTTCACATGAGGGGACTATAAAAGGAAAAGATTCACTTCAGGTCTCATTAGTGCTAGAACACATTTGAAAGTAGAGACTTTGTGCAAATTCAAATGTGCATATGCTTCACATATATTTTTAAAGCACTGTGCATTTTGGAAATCTAAAATATAGTGAGTGTGCTATTTTGTTGCCTAAAGCTAAAACATCAGTTAATGACTTTACTAATAGTGCTTATTAAAGAAATAAGCTTGCATAGTTTAATATGTAAAGATACAGTTGGTTAATAAGGTCAAAAGGAAGCCTGATTTAAAATTAAAATTAAGGCTATCCTAATTTCACAATTCCAGAGGTGAATTTTGACTTGGTCAGACATATTCCAGTAATCATATATGTTGTTTCCCTGATGATTTGAACATCATACTCTTCATAAATATGCCTGTTACTGGTTCTCAGAAAATTCTACTAGTATATCTTTGGTTTTAGCTGGTTCTATCTCAGCAAAAGAACAATGAGAAGAAAATGACCTAATTATTGCTGCTTAAATTTTTATATGTGAATAAATAAATCACCTGGGAACCTTGTGAAAATGTAACTTTTGATTCTGTAGGTCTAGGGTAGGGACTGAGATTTGGCATTTTTAATATGTAAGCAGGTAATTCTGTCACTGCGGGCCCCTGGGTCACTCTGAGTAGCAATGATGTAGCAAAACTCCCCTCCCCCACCTGCTCTAGAGTTGATCATCTTGTATGACTTTGAACTTCCTTGGTTTTTGTTAACTTAGGAGCTCTTCTTTCCTCAAGTGATCACAACTCAAAAGTAGTAAGGACTCTGCCATAGAACAGAGGAGGGGATTTGGGGCAGAGCCCCACTGGGCTTCAGATGACTTGGTACAGAATCCCACATGTGTCTCGGGGTTGAATTATTAGCAGGAATAGCCTTTTGTACACGATAGTGTGCCTGCAGTGGACTCCTAAAAATAGACAAGAGGTGGGTTATTTTGGGAAGACTGCAGGCAGCTGGGAGTTGTGGTCCCACGGGGGGATCTCTTCAACTCAACGGTCCCTGCCAGCAGCTCCACTCCCAGGTCTGCCAATAAAGGCTCGGTGGCTCGTCTCTGACTTGCAGAGACTGCCCAAGCTTCAGGTCCTATTTTCTAGAGTCCAGGGTGACCTGTGTGTTCTGTAGTTCCAGGATCTTCCTAGTGATGCTTTTAAAGGCTGAGCAGAGAGAGTGGCTAAATGAAAGTAGGGGTGTCAACATATCTCACCTTCTATTGGGAATCAATGGGCAATTCTCTGTTCTGTTTTAGCAACAAGAACAAGATCCTACCAACCTGTATATTTCTAATTTGCCACTGTCCATGGATGAGCAAGAACTTGAAAATATGTTGAAACCATTTGGACAGGTTATTTCTACAAGGATACTACGTGATTCCAGTGGAACAAGTCGTGGTGTTGGCTTTGCTAGGTAAGCATACTTTCCTACCTTTTGCTACCAACAATAACTCTGCAAAGTATCCTGTAATATAAATATTGAGCAAGAAGAGATTTTAAGCCATAATTTTGGGAGCTAGCTGCACCATGAACTTAAAGTATGTGTAAATATTGGTGTGCATTTTCCCAAATCTTTTGAAAGACCATTAATATTGTTGAACCTGAGGTCACTACTATTTAGTGACTCTGGGCAAGGAAATATTACACAAGCAATAGTTCTGAAAGTGTGTGTCCTTAATATTTTATTAATTAGATCAGGATGCCTGTAACATCTTCAAAATAACAATCTCCAACTCCTGAATTTCATACAGATATTGGCATGGTTTTTCTCATTAGATGGAAGTTGGATTCATCATCAATAAAGTCAGTGAATCACATTGTTAAATAAAACATTTCAGACTTTAAGAAAAGTAAGACAGTGATATGACACCTGTCTAACCACCAGTTGTTACCCCAGTGGTAACGTTTTACAGTTTTGCTTCAGCTTCTTTTCTTAAGTAAAATGTTGCAGATAGATCCAAACTGCCCTCACCTGTTCATCTTACTTTTGTTGCTTCCTCCCCAGAAAGGATGCCAGTGCAGTGGTTAATTTGGTTTCTAAAGGAAAAATTGGAATTAGAAGGAGAACTGATTTGTTATGTAGTTTTAATCTGAAAGATTATTTTATGTGGCGATTTAGGAATCTGTTAATACTGTGCAATAACAGGTAATGTCTACATGTCTTAAAGTATTGACTTTGACTTCTGAAATTTTACTTTTATATACATTATCCTATTTGATGTCAATCAATGTACTACCACAGACTATGAGATAACAAAGCAACTGCTGTTTACTGTTTTACATATAAGAAGATTGAGGCAAAGAAGGGACTTTTTTCATTGTCAGTGGGCTGCCAACTAATGAGGCAAGGTCTTCTGGCTTGTAGTCCATTGCCCTTTCCTTCGGGCCAGATAATTTTATGATGCAACTAAGATGGTCTGCAGTTGACAGTCGCCAAGGCTAGCATCTCCATGTGCACTTGATCGTTTAAAAGGATCCAAGTGAAACAAGGGAAAGCCCAGTGCCATGTAAAGCTTGTCACCTCTGTGGGTGTTCTGAAAGCAGATCAGGTAGTTTTATTTCTGTATCCAAAGATGGAATCCAATTAAATTCTGCTGCTTCTTAAAACTATTGTTTAATAAAACCTGTGTGTAACTCTGGTTAGTCCAGGAGTGTAGCACATGATGAATAGATAATTCAGTGTTTCTTCCATGAAAGAAAAATAAGTCAAAATAACTTAATTCCCCTGAAATGTTTCTCAAATGTTTTTAGCCCCCTGCTGATGATGTAGAATAAGTTGTGAAGTAAGGCTCCATCCTTTAAGTTACTCCTCCAAAGCCAAGAGTAAAAAAGGAAGGGTCATAATTGTCTTAAATTTAATGTTAAACTTGAAGCACATGTAAAAACCATAGAAGGCACGACATCCTCTGATTGACACTAGTTCTCATCACAGCTTTTGAGTCTTTCATTTTGTGACTGTGTGAAAGGAAAGAACGTCTTTAAAACATTCTCGCAAACAATAAATACACTGGTGTTTTAAACGACTTTTTGTGTTTAATTCGGTATCATGACTAACAAAGCTATTGTGTATTGATTGTCAGCTTTCCAACAAGTAGATAAAAATTATACATTTGATATGCTTGGTCTTAAACACTCCAGATGTAATTTACTTCTTTTGTGATTCAGAGTGTAGTCGTTAACATGTATTTTACTGTGGACGTGTGCCAGCCACAGTTAGATAAGGGACAGGGTAAGCCCGCTTTTTCCCCTGCTCACTGTCTTGCCAGGCCTCGTTTGTACTCACTGAACTTGTAAGAATGTACTCACATGCCCAGGACAAAATGAAAACTAAGAGATCTCTAAATGTTTGTGTTTTTTTTTATAAATATAGAATGGAATCAACAGAAAAGTGTGAAGCCGTTATTGGTCATTTTAATGGGAAATTCATTAAGACACCACCTGGAGTTTCTGGTATGCTGTTTGTCTAAAATTTTATCAGTAGTCTTTTATATAATGTGTATAATTTTAGCACATGAGGACTCATCAGAGAACAAAAAAGTCTTCATTTAGCCCTTTAAAGTTTTTTTTTTTTGCATCTGCAAATAGGACTTAATAATTCACCTCTCTCCAGCTGTTGGGTGTTTAAATGTGAATGGAAGCTGGCCCACTGGTAAGGATGTGACTTGTAAAGCCCTACGAAGCTTCTCTTCCTTTGATAGTTAAGCTGTTCTCTAATATATCTTATCACCACCCTCAACAAATCTGTCATTCAGGCACATCTTTGAGGACTGTGATACTTTCCAACCCAGCTCCTCCCTTGGTTGCCATCCCCTCCCCTTATAGTGTCTGGACCTCAACTCCTGTGGCCACTCTGTTCACTTCCTCCCCTCGCTCTGCCTTATGTTGTCAGGACCAGTAACACCACACCTCTGTAGCTTTTCATTCCAGCATCACACACAATAACTCCCATTCAGCCTGATCTAAGATAGACAGGGATTCTTCCATTTTCACGTTTCATTGGTCCTTCTTTCCCATCCCATCTGGTGTGTGTGTGTGTGTCTCTCTCTATATATATCTATCCATCTATATATACATCTAGCACAAACACACACCTCTGTATTTTTTAATTTTAGGAAGGGAGGGAGGGAGAGAGAGAGACAGAGGAAGACATCAAATTGTTGTTCCACTTATCTATGCATTCTTGTTTGTGTCCCTCACCAGGGATTGAGTCCACAACCTCAGTATATTGAGATGATGCTCTAACCAGCTGAGCTACCTGACCAGGGCTTTGCTCTCCATTTTTGAATGCTGAAACCATTTCTTTAGCAGCATCCTCAGTTTCCTTGTACTCCATCCCTTGGTCACACCCTTGGCTTGGCAGAATGTTGAACTTAGGTTAATCCCACAGCAGTCCACCTTTACTGCTCCTATTACGTCCAGGCAGGGAAAGGCTGTCCCCCCTTGACCAGACCCTCAGCGTCACTGGTCCTCAGCAGCTTCCTCACCCTGCCCTAGAAGCAGTTCTCAGTTTTCACCTTGGGGCTCAGTCCCTTCCCCACCCCACACTCCACTCTAAGCGGATAACTTCACTTCCTATTTGATGAGTAAAATTGAAATCAGCAAGCAGAAACACCATTATCAACTTCCTGCTTCCTCCCAACAGGGAGAACCTCCCCACTAAAGCCTCAAGGACCAGCGGGTCAAAGCTATGCCCTTTGTCCCATCCTCTGAGGGCCCTACTCTGCCAGTTATCCCTTCCCTATAATATGTGTGTCTTTTCCTTTTATTATTTTTTTTCCAACAAAAAAAAAAACCTTTATTTTTAATTAGTAACAGATCTCTGGCAAACTAATTAGTGGAAAAATGGAAGAAAATGCACAAATACTACTAAGAACAAAAACTGTGATCATAACTACAATAGACATTTTTTAAAGCACAAAACAGAAATTCTATGCAAATATATTTTAATAATTTCCTAGAAAAATCTGTCCGTTTGTGTTCAAGATTGTTCAGGTCTCTGCTCTCAAAACTAAATTAAACTAAGCACTTTCAAGCCCCTTCTCACATAAACTTTATAGAATTGTAGTCCACCTCCTCACTTATCATTATCATACCTCAACTTCCTGGAATCTGACTCCCCCCATAGTATACAGCTGGAATTCCTCGAGGTCAGATAACCGTCCTGGTTTGCTAGGGCTGCCATGACAAAGTACCACAGACTGGTTGGCGTAGACAGTACAAATGCCTGGGCTCAGAGCTCTGGAGGCTAGAAATCTAAGACCGAGGTGTCGGCAGGGCTGGCTCATTCTGAGAGCTGCAAGGGAAGATCTGTTCCAGCCTTGCTCCTTGGCTTGTAGATGGCTGTCTTCTCCCTCTGTCTCTCACACCGTTATCTCTCTATGCCTGTCTCTTTCCGTATCCACATGTCACTTTTTTATACGAGCACCAGTCATTGGATTCAGGCCCAATGTAATGACCTAATTTTACTGTAAAGACTCTGTCTAAGTAAGGTCACACATTCTGAGACACTGGGAGTTAGAACTCCAAGTTTTGTGTGCACACCCAAAGGGAACACAATTGAACAGGGACCACTTACCTCCTGGTGATTAAGGCTGGAGGCTTCCCTGTCTCTTCCGTGGTTGGTCCGTCTGCTGTGTTTGGTACTGCTGGTCCCTCACTCATCCTTGAAATGTGTCCTCCTTTGACTGATGTCTTACCTGTCTCTCTAGTTTCTTCCCATTTTGTGTTAATTGGAGTCTTTCCTGAGCTTGTTTTCTTTTATCTACTCCTTAATTATCAGTGTTTCCCTGAATTCCACTTTTGGCTCATGATTCTGCTAGATTTCATCCTCTCTCAAGGTTCCAACTCTTACTCACATCAGGTGACTCTCAAACATTCATCTCTCACCCTGGCTTTCCCTGGGTTTCAGGCTGCCTGGTCTTGGTCACCTCATGTTCACCTCCTACAAAATCAGGCTCCTCCCCCTTCCCGTCTAATTCTGCTCAGCTTCCTGTTTTCCTTCCGGTGTGAGTGTAACCAGTGTCCACCCAGGCACCCAAAGCAGAAACCCAGGACTGAAGATCCTGGGCTCCCCTAACCCCTCCACTTACTGTCTCCAACAGACAAGTCTTTCAAGTCCTTGGATTCTATCCCTGATTATTTCCAGAATCTACCGTCTCCCCTCCATCCCTCCTACCACCATCCAGTTGAACCCCTTGTCTCTCACCTAGGCCATCCTCATGGCCTCCTGATTGTCTGCCTTATCTTTAGCCCTTCCTCTCTCAGATGGCGTCCCTGACTGCAGCCAGAGGGACTTAGGTAAAATACCATAAGCCCTTGCATCATTTCACTACTAAAAGTTCTGTCCCTGTCCCCCACGCATAACCCTTGAAGAAGGAGCTGGGATTCCTCAAATGACACTGGCTCACTCTCCATCCTGCCCCCTCTGCTCCCAGCCTCACTATTTCTCCTGCAACACTGCACTGCAAATGACACTGAACTACAAACAGCATTCCAAACACACCATGCTGCTTCAGTTCTTACATGGTTTCCAATTCCTCAGGTCCCTTTCATGCCCTTTAATCCGCTATCCCACCTCAACCTTCAAGACTGTTCAAGGCTCACATCCCCCAGGAGGACCCCCCTCTAGCCCAGTTGGGTTACCCTCTGTTTGCATGGCGCCCTGAGGACACCCACCTGTATCACACAGCATTTAACATATTTACATGTGTCAGCCCATGAAACTGAAGGGTCTTCTAAGGCAGAAACTCTTTGCTCATCTTTCTGTTTTCATGCCTAGCATAGTATTTAGACCATACTAAGCAACAGTGAATATTTGTTGGTTTTGTATAATTTCACTGCACAATTCAGAGATAATACAACTTGTTTATAAGCTGGCATGCTAGTGGCTGACCACAAACCAGAAGTTTAAGTGGTATTCGGTATTTATTCTGCTATAGCTCCTAAGTTCCATCTTTAACTGAATGGCTGATGATTATGATTAAGGATTCACTTTAATTTTTGTGTGAAAAAAGTTGAGTGTCACTCACTTCGTAGAAAACCTCTCTGTAAGTACATGCGATACCACAGACTGCATTCATCTTGAAATGGCAAAGCCTCACAGCACACAGTTTGCATGGCTGCATGTGAGCTTGAATTGCCTATAGACACAAGTGTGGAGCGTAAGCTCTGAGACCTGAAAGTAAACTATTCCAGGGAACTCGGCCTTGTGAAAGAGCTTCCTTTTTTGTTAAGTTAGTTTTCTTCTTCCACCAGCAACACTGGAATTGAAATAGAAAAAAAGGGAATGTTTGTACCCTCCAAAATTTCTGTAAACCTTGCCCTGTGGGGCCTCTGCATTAACCCCCGTGCCCACCTGACCCTCGTGTTTTCCTCCCTTCCCTGTGTCACCCTTTGCACAGCCAGGGCCCCAGAGCATTGGGCCTTTGAAGGACTGATTATCCACCTACCTATGACGACTTTACTTTCTCAGCTTATCCCTGCACACAGCCAAGAAAGTTTGAGGGGGAAGAACATCCCAGCACACATTTGTTTTTGATGTTGTTGTTATCAGTCTGAGATAAGCTTTACCAGTTCCCTGAGTGAAATAGATTTCAGAGTGTCCCAGATGGAGCTTGGACAGTTTACTTTGTTCTCCAAAGGATAACATGGTTATATCGTTTAACTGTGTTTGGGGGTTTGTTTGGTTTTTTTTGAAGTGGGTTTTATGATTGTTGATCCCACCCATTCAAGGAAAAAAAAAAGACCTGGATTTCCAAGCCACATGTCGATGATTCTAGGATTCTCTGTACTTTGCAACCAGTAGAAAATGGTTTCTTCCAAGCTGTGCCGAGTGTCAGGTGGGACACAAGAAACAGATGATTCCTCTTACATTGAGATCATCGCCAGGGTGTGTGTGGGGCAGGGGGGTGGGGGCTGTGCTGTCAAGCCATTCTCTTCGTAATGAATCAGAATTAATATCATGCCATTTTCCAATGTTGGATGGCTTTTCCTGTATGTTAGTCTTGGTTCCCATCTAGAACACCAGTCTCTGGCTGCAGGGACTATGTCTTGTTTTCAGTTCTGTGCTCGGCACAGAAGGCCCGTGATCGCCTGGTAACAGTACAGGTCACCACGTGGGTTCTAAGAGCATTTTTCACGTGGTGCTCATCACAATAACCACGGCTCTTCTGAGAGCCTTTTTGGACAACTTTTTGCATATAAATAAGGTTGAACTCCCTTTGGGCAGGTGTTTAAAATGGATGGTCTGGTACTTGGAAGCACACTGTTCCAGTGAACCCAACTTTTTCCCAAAACAAGTCCCCAGTAGATTTGAGAACCCACAACAGAATTTGAAATAATTTTCAACTTCTGGATTTTTCCCCTTTTTTTATATACATGATATGAAAATTCTATTTGACTGCCAGTCTTTTTATCAGGTGCTACTCTCTTCCTCCAATTACCTGAGAGGC